AACAAAGGTCTAGAAAACAAAAAAAAGGAGAAAAGTACAGGAAACACAGACACGAAGAGCTAATGAAACAAAACATATAATTGATGGGAGATGTTTCGGAGATCCAACAGTTGCAATGGGAGTTCTGAGATCAAACCACTAGCTGCATTTGGCTAGTTTCCGAGTCTTGTCAAGTCTATCAGTCTATTTCAATCAGGGGACCTGCAGCATTCAAAAACGGAGCTCAGCTGCAAACTTCATTGAACCACACACACACATGAGATGCAACATACCCCATGGTTCATCAATACTTAATGGCCCCCAATGTACAGGTGTATATGGATCAAAACTCCACTTTGCCTAATCTTCAGAAATCAGTCGTTCACATTCGGAGAATCTGCCAGACTATCTGCCAGGTTTGGGGTAAACAAATTCTTTTCTCCTCAATTCCAGGGCTCCAACTACCTTCTGAGCTTTGCTATTTGGGTGGATTTGAATGGTCTAAATGCTACCTAGGGCCCAATTGGAAAAGGGCACCCCTTAGAACTGTAAATGTCCGGATGGACATGTGTACAAGAGTGTGGGGTTCTCAATCCCTACCATGGCGGGCTTTCGTCCCCTCCCTTCTCAGGTATATCTGAAAATGTATTCCAACTCCCAGCTTTCAGCAATGTTCTCCTCCAGGTGGACATTTTAAAGCTGGGTGGTGTGAACCCTGATGGCCGTGCCCAGCCGGTCCGGCCGTGACGGCTGGTCGCTGTTTGGCTGTTGAGAGGAAATGTCAGGGATGAGAAGGATCTGATTTGTCTTTGGGGATCCAATTCACCTCAAATTTGAGATCCAATTCACCCTTTTTTGTGATCTAATTCGTTTGAATCTGTGTGTTCCAGCAACGTTTGCCTACCCACTGTCCACGCTTTTTTTGAGGTACACGGCCCCTGTCTCCACGCGTGCCGGGGAGTGATTGGTCTCTCGGCGGAGTGTGGGGTGCTTGCAGGGCCATATGGAGAGATACCAACAGACCATTTAGCAAAAAATCTATTAGAAACAAGAAGCTACTAGGAACAAGTGCATCGCTACTAGTAACAAGTGCCTTACTAGTAGGAACAAGGTTCGCTAGTAGAAACAAGTGCATCGCTACTACTCTTCTATGTCTCCTACTAGCAATGGCTTTTATCAGGAACTATGCATCTCAGACCCCCCACAACCGGTTTTAGCCAACGCCACGAACCGCCACTTAGGATTTAAGCCAAGAGTCTGAGGATTTTTTAACGCTTTTCGAGTGTTCTTGTCCGGGATGGGGCAATGGTTGAGACGGCTCACCACTTACTGCGAGGTTTCCTTTTGCAAGGTTTTTGGCAAACAACTGGCAAGGTGAGGAACAGTGTGGGGGTTCCAACAGGAGAAGTCCTTACATGGATATAAGATCAGTACCCTTCAAGTCTCTTCCTACAGATGTGTTCTTTTGGTTTTCTCGTTTGTGGGACATTTCTGCCTGGACCTTTCAGACGGCGTCTACTTCGGGCCGACTGCGCGCCTCTTCAGTCATGAAACGACATCTCTTCAGTCATGAAGTTCACTGAAGATCTTGGTGTTTCATCTTCCTCAGAAAAAATAAAGAAGAAGCTACTAGGGGGAGGCCATCGCCATTAGGTTGGAGGCCATCACTACTAGTAGCAAGAACGCTACTTGTAGCTCCTGGCCATACTACTAGTAACCAGAAGCTACTAGTTTCACCGGCCAGGCAGGAAGGGCTTTCCACACGGATGGCCGAGAGGGGTGGGCTGGGCCACCGAGGGGGGCCGAAGGGCTGCAGGGGGATTGGAGCTGAAGGGCTACTAGTAGCGTCCGTGCTCCGTTCGTAGCGATGCCCTTTGTTACTAGTAGCTTCTTGTTACTAGTAGTAAGGTGCCTTGTTACTTGTATAGTTTCTTGTTATATTTGTTTTTGTGTCCTTCTCTTGCAGTTTGCATACCGGCTGCCTGGACGCAGGTCACACTTGGGGTGAGCACACATTTCATGGTTGAAGCTGGCGATAACTAGGAGCAAGGATGCTACTAGGGGCTCCTGGCATCGCTACTAGGAGCAAGAAGCTATTAGAACCAATAAATAATCACCTCCTTTTGGGTTTGACAATTTTCAAGCACTCTGGAAGTGGCCATGTGTCTTCAAACTAGAGTTTGAAGCCAGACTCCGAGACTGTTTCATACTAGATATCCCGGTCCATGTTGGAGGCGGTTGGAGGCCATCGCTCTTAGGTTGGAGGCCATCGCCCTTACGCTGGGAGGCCATCGCTCTTAGGTTGGAGGCCATCGCTTTTAGGTTGAAGGTCATCGTTATTAGGTTGGAGGCCATCGATCGCTCTTAGGTTGGAGGCCATCGCTCTTAGGTTGAAGGTCATCGTTATCGGGTTGGAGGCCATCGATCGCTCTTAGGTTGGAGGCCATCGCTCTTAGGTTAGTAACGGTTAGTAGGTTGGAGGCCATCGCGTTTCGGTCTGAGGCCATCGCTCTTTGGTTGAAGGCCATCGTTATTAGGTTAGAGGCCATCGCTCTTGGGTTGAAGGCCATCGTTATTAGGTTAGAGGCCATCGCTCTTAGGTTGGAGGCCATCGCTTGTAGGTTGGAGGCCATCGCTCTTAGGTTGGAGGCCATCGCTCTTAGGTTGAAGGCCTTTGTTATTAGGTTGGAGGCCATCGCTCTTAGGTTGAGGGCCATCGCTCTTAGATATCCCAGTCCATGTTTCCCACATGTTCGACCCGAGGTCGCGGCTCTTCCCCACGCACCTGGCGAAGTCAGCGCCTGCCTCGGCTTCTCGAGCACCTGCAGGTGGGGAGGGTTTCGGTCATGACATGAAACTTTCAAAACGCATCCAAGTCATGACAAGTCTTCAAGAAGTGTCCCCAAAACCCAACCTGGCTAAAACTGCATGACCGTGCCCAACATGCGATTGGGATCTCATAGGATCTCATAATAGGATCTCTTTTGGATTGTGTGGAGAGAATTCGGCGAGTCAGCCACAAAAGGTACACGGCCATGGGCCTTCATCAATTCTGTGGAACGTTGGCAATGAAAGACGTTTCACCCTTCTCGACCAGACACGGCTGGGTCACTAGGGTCACTACCATCGGCGTTCCAATCGGCGTTCATCCTTTGTCAGGGATGAAGCCGGGGGGCGTCTTTGTGCCAGGCCGGGACTCAAGCAGTTGGAACTGGGGTTGGGAAGCACGTCTGAAAGTCGGTGTTCAGAAATTTTGAAGTGAGAATCGGTGAGATCTCCTGCATACTCTAGGAGTGAAGAATAGACAGAATAGCAGGTGCCATGTATCCAGCACACCTCATTCGATTTGGAAGCCATTCTAAACCTACAGACCCTTTGATGAGCGATTTTGGAGTCCACAGACACATGGTTATAAAAATTGTTATAATCTTGTTTTTGCTCTTTTTCTATTTCATTTGCTAATTCATCTGACCCACTGACCCGCATCCAACAACTCGAGGCCATGTCCTGCTTCTAGAACCTAAATCCAAACAAAGGTGAGCCCATCCGTCGGTTAGTCTGCGATGAGGTGTGGAATGCCAAAGACCTTCCATTTTGGGAAGAGTGCAAGTGGGATGAAGTGGGACATGCTATTTCTTTTCTGGAACAGACTCCGTCGACTGTAACCATGAAGGCCGATGTTCTCCATGGTGAATTCCGGAACATAGACCAGTCTACCCCTTCGGCCATCTACCAAGGACGCTGCTAGGGGCTCCGAACGGAGCAAGGACGCTACTAGGAACAAAGGACATCGCTACGAACGGAGCAAGGATGCTACCAGTGGCGACCAGTCCACCCACCCGAATGGTTCACTTCACCTGAAGCCGCCCCACCGTAACTGCTGTTGAAACACCCTGTGAAACTGCTGTGCGGCCAAGGTGGAAGTCCCAAGGCCAAAGCTAAGGCACCGCAGGTGGGCTATGGTGGACCTCTGTCCGACTGGGCCCTGGCCAGATCTGTTTCTGCAAGCGAAGAGGGAGTTTCCGAAGTGGGGATGGTGCTGCGTCCAGGATATGATAGGATTGTGCTCATGAGCACAGAGCCGATGTCCACTATGAGCCTTGTGAGCCTGAAAACAGTCGATTTCTTTCAGACCAAGGTTGTGGTGTGAAACATATGATCAACATCGGAAAGACCATTTTTCATTGTCCATTCTTCAAATTCACTAGGAAAGACAATGGCAACAAGAGCCAACGGAAGAGAAACAGAAGAGACGACTCCCCTTAGTCCATCAGGCGCCAAGCTTGGCCGCGGAGGCACCGTCGAGGTGCCGGAAAACGACTGGCTGAGATATATTCACAGGAGGGAACACCTGATGTGTGCTTCACGAAGATATTGAATTTCAATGTTGCGCAAACGGGGAATCCACAGCAGGCAGCCCGGCAGCTTTTGGCGATGCACCCCCCGCAAGCCAGATACAGAGTCGATTGAAGCATTAGCTTCCACATGCTGGATAGGTTCCACATGTAGATAGCTTCAGTGAGTTTTTTTTTTTGGTCTTACAAGTTGTTTAGTTTTGTCTTACTCGCAATTTGCAAGCATAATTGTTGGAATTACTTTTCGACTCCCTTGAACTTGTACATATTCAAGGGGCTCGAAACATAGAATTAGTCACAATAAACCGTACAATGTGCTTGATCGAGACAACACTTGGAGATGAACGCAACATGAAGTGGACGAATAACATGAACGACGTATCTATAATCACTCTATATACTCTTGGACCCTCTTACAACTTGTTTAGCTATGTCTTACTTGCAACTTGTAAGCATCGTTGGATATATTTTTCGACCCCCTTGAAATAGTACATTTTTCAGTGGGTCCCAATTACATCCAATAATGACTGCGAATTGGATCAAAGTGATTCAGATCCGATTCTCTGAACGTTCTTGGTGGACTCTGACGCTTCTTGTGGCTTTGTCCTTTCCAGAAGCTACCTGCAGTATACCCACTGGAACGAACCATGGGGGGAGCAGTGATTCTTGGCAGCTGCTTCTGCTCCACGTCCCGCGTTCCGCGCGTGTTCTTCCCCCCTGCCCGGCGGTGCTTCGCCATGCCGGTCACTGTGGGGGAACCATTTCAGCCTGCGCGACGTGGCCGCAACAAGCGACGAAGCCAACCGGGGGGTGGATGTCACATCGGGTGTGGGGGTGCGGTGACGTCGGGGAGCTCGACGGATCTGTTGGACTTTCATCTCCCACGGAGGGTGAACTGGGGCCGGGAAATATGTTCACCTCGGGTGAACTGGGCCATGCCGCTTGAGGTTAAAAAAGTTCTGCAAAGATCAGCCATTGAGCCTGGACGAGGCGGAAGAATTTGGGCGGCTCTAAGCGACGGTTTGGGCTCTGCTCGAGCCGAGAGCTTCTGCAAGTCTGCAAGCTTTTGTGGCTTCTCAAATGGGGTGTTTTACGGGTTTCTGGCAGTTGCGGACATCAGATGGTTCATGGACCCCTTTCACCTCTTTTCCAGGGCTCTTAATACTCTCGAACAATACAGCTCAAGATAGCTGAAGATCTGGTCGAAAGAAACAAAAGCGTGGCTCTTTGTTTGGCGTCTTTTTCGGCTACAAGGCCCAAGGGGGCAATATCTGGAAAAAGTTACATATAGTTATTTTGGTGCCCTGTCACCAGGGGGCCCTCGGCCTTCAGGAAAGGCCGCAGACTATGGCTCTCAACTCCTTTACAAGAGACCGCCTCGCATGTCAGGTCTTGGAATTGAAATCCCTCTTGGAATCAAAGGGTACCTTGGACTACACTCGCGCCAAGTGCAAGGACCCCCTCTCGCGCGCGGCCGCCGAGTGTGAGCGCTGATGTTTTGCGCATGAAAGCCCCGTCCCTGGTTGCTGGAGCCCGCTTTTGGTTTTTGGATCTCCGGATACGGATAGTCACGTTTGAAGAACAATCAACCATTCTGAGAGCCTGGCTTAGAACCCACGTTCTCGCGAGGATAGCAAGGGTAAAGCCACAGGGCCCTTCAGCGCCAGTGCGGCGAATGCCAAGGGGGACCACACAGGCTCAAGCATGTGCCTTGGAGTCCGTTCTGTGCGTGGGGTGGCCGGTTGAGGTATGGTCAGTAATCACTTTAGGGGAGCTCCACATTTGAGCTGGAACGCTCAACCATATACTAGACCCCTTTCGGTGGAATGTCGCGGGTGCTTTTTGAAGGGGAAAGCATCTGAACATAGATGGGCTTGATGCTCGGTTTCGGATGCTTTGACGCTTTGATGCTTGGTTTCGGCACCCACGGGGCGAAACACACGTACCCAGCGATGACAACGGATGACAACCATAAACCCTAAACTCTTTTCCAACCTAGTAGCGATGGCTTCCAAAACCCTTTTGGTTGGAAGTTTGGGTAGATCTTTTCGGGGACGACTGAGTGATTCCATTTTTGTCTTCATTTTTCTCCGTCCCTACGACTGAGTTGGACTCCGACTGATTTCTGTGTGCGCAGCGGAAAGCATTCATCTGAGGTTTGGGAGTTGGCTGCGTGACTCGGATGGAGAACACGGTTTGCCTTCTTTTTTGTTGCGACGAGACCATTTTTGCGACTTTTTATTTTTTGCGACTTGTTTTTTTCCCTAAAGGATGGCACAAGGAGGGCTTAGTTTGCTTTGCCGTGTATGCTTTGCCTATGCTTTGTGGAAGAAAACACCAGGCAGGACGTACAGGAACATTTAGAGACTATCTCATGCGCTCATAGGTTTTGTGTCTTGTTGTTCAAGGTGACAACTGTATCATTGCCTATGGCATTTGGCTCACTGATCCAGATGGAGCTGGCGGGGATGATGCTGTGGCATGCTTGAAGCTCGGCTCACTTTCTCGATCTGTCCTCAGGAATTGTGATGATTTGACTAGTCACAAACTTGAACCCACTAAAATTAACCCTCAACTTGTAGCAGTATCTAGCGGTGGCTTGCCAATTGCCACATCGATAATATCCTGTTCCAAGAACGGAATGATTCCAATTCTTGCCGTAACACAGCAAGAGCTGGGCATCTTGAGGAACTATATTAACCTAGTAGCAATGGCATCCAACCTACTACTGTAGCGATGGCCTCCACCATAGCAGCGATGGCTTCCACCCCAGTAGTGATGCCTCCAATGGCCTCCAGACTACTAGCGATGGCCTCCAACCTAGTAGTGATGGCCTCCAACCCAGTAGCG